CTGTCGGGGTTAGTTACACGCCTCTCGCCCTCTTTCTTTCCCGTGTTACACCGTCGTTACCAAAGGGGGTAAAAAGAAAAGAAAAAGGGGAAAAAAAAAAAAGAAAAAAAAAAAATAGAAAACAAGCGACCAATCCAGCAACTTGCCCTCCAGCTCGATTCTCCAATCAGCCCCTCCTTCCATCCTGTATAAATGCCCCAACGATCTACCGCTGTGGATTTTTCAAATCTACTAAATCCTGAATCTCCGTCTGAAGACCCTCGAGAGACCTCTATATCCACGTCTGCCGCCGCCGCCGCCTCCAAGTCAACGTCAACATCAACATCCGCTTCCGCGACATCCTCACCTACCTCGTCGAACATGGCCTCATCCTCTCCCGTGAGCCTCCTACCGCCGCTGGTCAAAGCTGGACGTGCTACAATTACTGAAGAATCCCGACAAAGCCTACCGCGGCCCTACAAATGTCCTCTCTGCGACAGGGCTTTCCACCGCCTCGAGCATCAGACACGGCACATTCGAACCCATACGGGGGAAAAGCCACATGCCTGCCAGCACCCGGGCTGTGCGAAACGCTTCAGCCGCTCTGATGAACTCACCCGTCATTCTCGTATCCACAACAACCCAAATTCGAGACGGAGTCACAAGGCGGCGGCCCAGCAGCAACAACTTCAACAACATCATATCGCTGCAACCGCCTTGTCAAATGGCCCAAACACCTCTCCAAACACCCCGCCCAGGTCCATGATGCCTCCCCCAGGGAAACCCATTGCCAGGTCTGCCCCTGTATCCCAGGTCGGCTCACCCAATGTCTCCCCTCCGCACTCCTACACAAATTACGCTTCGCACATGCCCTCAACTTTGGGGCCCTATGGTAGAAGTGGAAGTGGAGTTGGAACTGATGGTCGACCTTCCACCGCAATGGACATCAATATGCTGGCAACTGCAGCTTCACAGGTTGAACGCGACGACCACCACTTTCTCCACCATCAACACCACCACCACCACCACCATCATCATCACCACCATCAGCAGCAGCAGCAGCAGCAGCAGCAGCAGCAGCAACCATCCTATCACTTATCCTCACCGCACCAGGTGCGCACCTCGCCTCTCTACAGTGCCTCCCGCTCCCCTTACCACCACTCCCTCAACAACTCTCACAATAGCACAAGCCGCCTCCCCTCTCTCTCTGCCTACGCCATCTCCAACTCTCACAGCGCCCACCCAATGAGCCGCTCTCACTCTCACTCCGATGAAGACCGTGAGATTAGCATCCACCGCGCTAAACGCTCCCGCCCTTCCTCTCCCGACTCCACCGCCCCATCCTCCCCAACTCTGTCCCACGACTCCCTCTCGCCAACCCCAGACTACACCCCGCTCGCAACACCAGCCCACTCCCCGCGCCTCCGCCCATTCTCCTCCTTCACATCTAGCGGTGGCGTCCTCAGCGACCTGCAACTCCCCTCCATCCGCCAATTGTCCCTGCACGGCCATCACACACCCGGACCGGCCCTGGCACCCATGGAGCCTGAGCCGCAAACAGATGGCATGCCAATGCATCACCACTACGTGGCACAGTCGCAGGGACAAAAGCAGCATAATACCGGTCCGAGTATTAGCGATATCATGCACAGAGTCGATGGAACGCAGAGGAAGTTGCCTGTGCCGCTCGTGCCCAAGGTGGCAGTGCATGATGTGTTGAGTTTTGGACATCATGGCGTTGGACTTGGTGGGATTAGTGGGGCGGGGAGTGGACTTTCGTCTGGGTCGTCGTCGGTTACTGGGTCGGTTGCTGGGGGGGATCTAGGGGAGAGATATTAGAGGGATTTAATAAATTTATAGAATAGTTTATGCAAGGGGATGCCTCGTATATACTTTTAACGAGCGTACCTGGAAGTGTTAGGGAGGATGGGATGGATGTCTTTCCTACTCTTTCCGTTTCCCTGGGCTTCATCTACCGATGCATTTTCCCCCTTTCACCTTTAGTGTTTTTCTGTTGATTGGCTTCAGCGATTGCTTCGTATGGACACGGAGTCAAAATTATAGATAGCTGGGATGGAATATGTCTGCTTGTTTTTTCTACAAAGGCTTTTTGTTACAGGGAGGGAACAAAAGAACGTGTCCCTCTTTTTTCTCTTCATTTTGCACTTTCATTTTCGTTTCTACATGATGTTTTGCTACCAGATCATTTATTTTTTGGTAAATTTTCATTTTATCTGTACTCTGTTTTCTGTTCTTCTCCACTCAGCTCTTTTTAAAAGGTTGCTTCCTCCTGGCTTGATTTTTTCTATATTCGTTGATTCTTCATATTCTCTTATTTTTACAGATGGCAAACTACTATTTTTTTTTTTTTTTTTTTTTTTTTTTTTGATATGTTTGTTTTTTCTCCTGAGTGATATAATGCTATGCAGGGAACGAAATGGATATTTCCGATGACTATTATTACCTTCTGTGCAGCAAGAGAAAGCTACAGTTGCTTTGTACCAAAGGTTTGAAGAAATTGGGAGGTGTGGGGTTTTGGGGAGCGTTATTCCAGAGAGCTTGTGTTTGTTTATTTTGCACTTGTTCACACAGCCACCGGTTTTACCCCCCTGCCTACGTCAATTTGGGCGCAGGCACCGGTTGGCAGCAGCTGATCTGATGAGTGAGCTTGTTGATACAACCAAGCGCTCCTGGACCCCGCTGTATAAGCCCCTTTTAGATTTATGTATTTATAGTAACTTCGTACCGGAAGGCCCGCGGACGGACCACACAGCATCCATCGCTCCACGTGCCTGGCTACGGAGTCGAGAAAAAGCATTGGCCCATGCCTCTCCCAGGCAAGAAAGAGATGCTGCTGAGGATGACATCCCAGCAAGCTTTAAAGAAGGTGCGCTGCGCAAAAATTTCCCTCCGATAAGGATTGTAACAACGGTTTTTCCCCCTCTTTTCCCTTCCCCTTTTTTTTTTTTTTCCCCCCCCCCCCCGGAAAAGATCCTGTTGGTTGTTGGTGGTTATTGGGTTTGTCGATTGAGTTTATCGCGAAGAGGGGGGCTTAGTTGACGCCCACGCGCTAAACCGGATTCTGGTCCCCTATAAGGTTTGGCGGGCGCCGCGCCTACCTTATTTTGTGGGGGGCGGTTCTTTCCCACGGAGGCCGGAGGGAGGCCAGGGCGGCGGGATGACGTATGCCAGGTGGTCGGTCATGTGATTTCGATATTTTATTTATTGTTTATACTCTGGTTGTTTCCTCTCTCTGGAGGCTTTTTGGGGTCTATTTGGGGATTGTGAGGTGGCGAGAGTCTGCTGGGACGGTTTGGTTTGGGGGTAGGAATAGTGGGTGAGGCGAGGTAACGAGGAAATGCAAATCGACGGGAAAGAAATGATTCATTCAATGTCTTTCTTTGATTGAGGTTAGCAACTAGAACTAAATCCAGCCATGATGGACCAATATATATATATATATATATATATGACGCCCGATAATGAACATGTAACGAACAGACCTATCGAAATTGAAACTTGAAATAATGTTTTTTCTCTTTTTTTAATAAATAAAAAAAAAAAAAAAGAAAAATTAAATAAATAAAGAAATAATAAAATAACAATAAAATGCGAAAGTCATATGAGCGAGAAGGCATAAAGGAGTATGGAAACAAGGTTTAAAAACGGGTAACATCATATAAAAAAACCAGAAAAAGCCAAAAAAAAAAAAACATCGCAGCTAAGATCCATCCCTCCAATCCCCACTCCATCATCTCCATCTCCTTCCACATCATTAACTTTTTCTCTTGCGGTGCTCCTTGAAAATGCTCTTTTCGCACTTCAACCTACACAATATATATTTTCAAAAAAATTTTTTGTTTTGTTGTGTTTTTCCCGCTTCGAAACACCTTTCTACACACTGAACCTATTTCCACGCATTCAGCCCCGCCCACGGGTCACTGCTGTTATTCTGCCCTTGTACCTGCTGACCCTGCTGACCCTGCTGTTGCCCCTGCTGCCCCTGCTGTTGCGATTGCGGTTGCGCAGCACTATACGGCCTCTGCATATACCCCGCTCCGCCAGGCGGATAATGTGGATTCGACTGCGGATAAGGTGACTGCGACTGCGGCTGCGGCTGCGGCTGCGACTGCAACGGCCGCGGCGGCGGGGGCGGCGGTATATACCCCTGCGGCATGAACTGGGAAGCATGCGATTGTTGCTGTGGTGTCATTCCAGGTTGTGTTGAAGGTGGGTTTGGATACCCGTACTGAGTCGGTGAGAAGAACTGCTGAGTTGCTGGGGGGGAGGTTGGGGGTTGGTAGAGGTAGGCCATTGGGTTGTAGCCTTCGGTTGCTTGGGGGGGTTGCTGGGCGTATGCTTGGCCGCCTATGTATTGGTTGGTGGCGGTGGGTGGGGCGATGCCACTGGTGCCGAAGGACGGGTAGGTTACGGCGGGTGATTGGGTGTGAGGATGGGGGTTTGGGGGATGGGAGGAGATTGGCGGAGAGCGGCCGGATGTCGGTTTTAGCGGGGATGGTCTTGTTTTTGATGAGGAGGTTGGTGGGGATTGAGGAGTGGTCTCGACGGAGAGCCGTTCCATGAGGGTTTTTAGTTTTTCGCGCTCTCTGTCTTCGTGGTTGGATTGGTGGTGGGATTTATCTCGTTCGATCTGGCTGAGTAGTTGAGCTCCTTCGGACCGTCGGTTGTTGACAAATGTGTCGACGTTCTTTTTCAGGTTATCAACTGTATCCTTCATTTCGGCGTAGAAAACCTGTGCCTGTTCTAGACCCGAGCTAATATCTCTGAAAGCATTGTATATCTTTTTATATTTGGACATAACCGAGTTCCTGTGTCGCGTAAGCAGTTCATATTTGGACTGCTCTGATCTGACTCGGCTATCCTGGAGTAGGTCACCGTAAACTTTTGTAAGTTCTTTCATGAGCGCAGTTTGCTTGTGGTTTGCTTGTAACAGGCGATTTTGATGAGGGCGGAATTTCTCGAGTTCAGTTTGGAACAGTTGATTTTCTTGATTGGCGATCGATTTCTTATTCAATATGAGCACATTGGAGATATCATCATTGTGAACCTAAATTTTTGGTCAGCATTTAGCAAAATAAGGACCTTAAAGGAGATGGCCAAGGGATGCTGGGCACACCTTCTCCTTGAGATCTTTCAATATCTGAATCCGATCTCTTTTCACAAGATTCAATTTCCTAAGCAACTCTTCCACTCTCGCAATTTGCTCGGCAACAGACGTTTCATCCTCGAAATCGTCATCAATGAGAGAAACCTCCGGCGCCGCAGTATAAGGACTACCGCCTTGTCCATATCGACTTTTACCGTGTTTCCCTCCAACCTTAATAAGGGCACTTTGGAACAAAATATCAGCTTCATCAGTTTCCCCAGCGGACCGCATCTCGTCAAAGTCAGCTTCATGCTGCCTTAGATTTACTAGAAGTTGCGAATCGCTGGAACTTGCTTCGTCGATGGTATCGCGGTAATTCCGAAGATCACTCCGCAGGGTCGACGTCAACCGAGAGCTGGGTTGTTGTACCCAATCACCCCCGTATTTAGATCGCATCTTTTCACAAACGCTCTCCTCCATGTCAAGCTGTTTAGAGCATTGATCCAATACGCTTAATATTGATATTTTCTCATCCTGCAGTTCGTTGAAAGCTTCACGGAAGTGGGGCGCATTGGCGAGTTCTTCACACCATCTCTTAAACTCCTCATCAACATTAATTTCCTGGTCCATCCCACCCTTTAAAATATTCAAGCTTCCCGGTAATTTGAGATAATCAAGACTGGCGGCCATTTCCCCATTGGCTGCTTCGACTTTCTCCGCCTCTGCACGAACTAGTTTTGCTTTTTCCTCATCGTACAAACTGGCTGATTCTGTGACGGACATGGGAACAATCTTTTGGAAAATGTCTGGGCCAATTATCCTCTGTATATCTTGTCCTTGGTAGAGCTCACTGACTGGTATGGCCTTGGCAGCCGGCAATTTCGCGATAGTTGAGAGCGTGGGTTCCGAGGGGACGGGCTGGTGGTATATAAAATCGTTATCCTTGGTAAACGTTGCTAGCGTCTCTTGGACGCAGGTGAGATGTCGACGGACGGTGTCAAGTAATATTGGGCCAGTATCAGCACTCAAATTGGAGCTCGCGGGGACAGAGGATGGAAAGGATTTTGCCCAGTTCAGGGCTGTAGTGGTTTGCTTTTCCGCCAGAAGGAGTCGGGCAATGGCAATGCCGTATAGGGTTCCCTCGTCGTCTGCAATGGCCTGGTAGTAACCGGCAACGGCCGCTAGCAGAGAGGCTTTAACTTGGACTAGGATTGACCACACTTTCTCAAATATTCCCTTTGTGACATTTTCCTGTACGCCCTCCACTGCTTGTGAATAGAGATAGGCAGCTTGACTTGCGAGTTTAGCAAGGAATCCAGGCTTCTTCCCATCGGTTATCTGTTTCTCCAAGAAGACTTCCTGGCCCTGTGCCAGCATTATCGATATCAGCGTTTTGACAGTGTCCCTGCTTAGATCCGTCGAAGGAGCATGTAGAAAGTTCTCATTGATATAAGTGAACATTCCCGCGGAGGCTTGGAAGGAGTGATAGGCGGTTTTTAGACCAGTGTCTTCGGATCGGTTCTGGTTTGCAGCGTGACATGACAGGACAGCGGATATATTGAAGATAATCGAAGCTTTTTCGTAGGCCAATGAGTATTGAGAGGTTGGCTTGTGAGTAAATGCATCGTACCTGATAAAAGGAATAGAAAGAGACGGGGAAAAACCGTCCCGTTAGACGAGGCAGAAAAAAATTTTGGACAGCGGATTTGGGTAGATGGAGAGCAGAGCGCACCAGGTAAAAGATATCTTGATATGATTCTCATCAACCGGAAACCGCAGATCCAGCAGTTCGAGCTGGCCATAGTATCGATATAACAGATCCCGTCCAGCAGCGCTATCTTTGCCAGCGCCCCTCATGTCCTGCCGCAGCCTGTTCAAGGTAGCGCATTCTTCTGAGTATCTCTCTGGGTCATCACCGTACGTCTGCCGGATGTAAGCCTTGAGGGGTTGAATCCAGTCAATCTCGCTGGTTTGCTTCAGAGGACTGGATATCATAGGCGACTGGACCATCTTGAATAACGGGCGGGCTGGGTGGCAGGGGAGATACACCTGTGGGATAATTTATTAGGTTGGGTCGAGATGAGGTCGCGGAAGCAAACATAAGATGGGAGATAAGCCAAAATAAAATAAAATAAAATAAAATAAAATAATAGCACCTTTCCCAAACACCACCGGGAAGCGGTTGCAGGAGGGCCGGAGAGCAACGGGGAATCGATCTTCTGCAGGCAAAGCGGTTGGAGAGGGCTAGAGGGCTAGAGGGCTGAGATGGCTGGAGGTGTGGGGTATTCAGGGTTGGGCTTGGGCGGGCACAATGACGACGGGGTGTTGGTTAGCGTTCGCCAAAACTAGTGAACTGGACCAGAAACCACAGCAGCTAGAAGAGACAGAAGAATAGGGGCAAAAGCGCAGAACAACTCAAAATGAGATAAAGTATTAGAGCGAGATGCAAGCCAAACAAGGAGAAGAATGCCGGAGCTGAGGATATTCAGAAGAAGAGGACCGGGTTATTCTTAGGTCAGGCTGCTGGTGGTACCCCGAGTCTGATTCTACCAGAAAGGGATAACTGCCTGAGAACGTTCGTTCCATAGCTTGCGACTGGCAGCGGAAGAGCCACCACTCCCAGCACAGCGCCAGGTTAGACAAATGAGGACAAAGCTATTGTTTATTCTGTCATATTATTGCTGTTAACTACTTATGTGGATGCTGCGAATGCAGGAAAATGTATCCGTATGTCCACCATGTCAACATCAGCAGAAAGAATTAAGGGATTATATGTCAGGACTCAAATTGACGCAAAATTCAGAATACGGATTAACTACTCCGTTATGTTCGACGAATGATGTTTATAGCTTTTTTTTTTTTTCATTCTCTGATGACACCTGACTGCAGCGGAGATGTTGGTTATATCTAGGAATTACCGTACTGTACAGGCAAATAATGAAGATGCAGATCAAACCGCGCCCCAATCTAATTGACCAGCCCGACCATGCACTTCTTTTATTCATACAACTCCAAGGGAAATGTAAAGAAGTGAAATGAAATATTGGTCCAACCCATCGTTGAAGTAAAATGTACAGGAAGGGAGAAAAAAACCTCCCCCCTAAAAAAAATTAAAAATAAAAAAAGAAAAGAAAACTATAGAAATACCCTTTTTTGCTTGCCAACGCTATGATAAGGAGAAGAAATTTTTTTTTTTTTTTTTTTTTTTTGAAAATGATTATGAAACGAAATAACTGCCATATCGTGGAAGACAAGAGGATATCACCCCGAGCCGGAGGCTTTCTTCGATTCGTCGGTCTTGTTCCCGTCGCTGGTATTGCCATCGGACCGTTTGTCCTTGTTGCTGTTATTGTGCTGGTTCATGAGTTTGTGCCATGCAGACTTGAGAAAGCCTTCATTTTTGTGTGAGTCACTGCTGGCAGTGCTGCTGTTGCTGCTATCTTTTTTGCCCGACGAGGAAGAGCCGGGAGAGGAAGGCCTAGAGAGAAAAGAACGAGGAGAAAATTAAGATACATGTGGTTAACCTTCCGCTTTAACATCTTTAAATAACACTACACTGTTCAGGATGGATGGCTTCCTCCTTGTAGGGGTGATAATTTTTCGAATAAATACTCACTTGTCGTGTTTGTGGACGTTCATCATGCGTCGAGCAGTTTCGTCGCCCATCTCGTCAGCAAGCACTTCCAGAATGGTTCGCTGGTTCGCAGTCAGGTATTTCGGCATGGCAACCTTGAATTCAATCTTGAGGTCACCCTGCTGGCCACGCCGACCCTCAAGTTTCCGCATTCCCATTCCAGATAGGGTGATTTTGTCTCCGGTGCCCGTTCCCGTGGCCACCTTCACTTTAACTTCGCTGTCAAGCGTGGGGACTGTGACTTCGCCACCAAGCAGTGCTGTTGTGAGAGGAATCTGCGCTGTGTACAGGACATCCGAACCAGACCTGCTGAATCGGGAATCAGGGGCTACCTTTATAAAGACATAAAGATCGCCACGTCGCATTTGAGCACCGGGTTCTACTGGAGGCATATCTCCCTCTTCAGGCACTCGCAACCGCATTCCATCCTCCACGCCCCCTGGGATATTGACATGCACCGTTTTTCGTTCCCGGACAACGCCATCACCGCCGCAGATATTGCATTCGGATCCCCGGGGTATGGAAACACCTGCACCACCACACGAGGAACAGGTACTTTCCATATGAAATCCACCCTGGATGAAATGAACTTGTGACCCCGTACCATTGCATGTTTTGCATTGTGCCCGCTTTGAACCCGGTTTTGTCCCCTCGCCGTCACAAGTCCTGCACTGAACGAGGGGAGTTATGAAAACTTCCTTGTTCGTTCCTTTGGCCGCATCCATGAATGAGATATTCGTTTGTACTTCAATATCATCACCTTCAACCACTGCAGACCGGAACGGCCCACCCTTCGACCGACCCCTCCGCCCCGAACCACCCGCAAAGGCACCAAAAAGATCCTCGAAATTTATATTCGCAGAGAACCCGCCACCAGGGAACCCGCCGCTAAACCCGTGGAATCCACCGGTGCCTGCTCCGGAGAATGGACCGCCAGGACCGGCATTGGCGCCGGGATTGAAACCGCCATTTTGGTCGAATGCCGCGGAGCCATAACGATCGTATGCTTGTCGCTTTTCTGCATCTGAAAGAAGCTCGTACGCTGACTGGGCTTCTGCAAATTTTTCCTTCGCATTAGCATCCTTGTTCGTGTCTGGGTGATATTTTTTGGCCAGTCCGTAGTATGCCCGTTTTATTTCTGCGGCAGATGCATTCTTCCCTACTCCGAGTACACGGTACGGGTCGCGTGAAGCTTGGGACGGCGATGATGAGTGAAAGGCCTGGGAATAGTAGATGGAAGCCGAGTTAGCTGGTACATAATCCGTAGAGCCACCCACCCACACCTGGTGTTGTATATAGATGCGATTACTGTATGATTCTAGACATACCTTGCAAAACGGATGACGGCTACGGTCATTTAAGGGTTCTATACGGGGACGCCTATCATGGTAAGCTTTGCAGTCATTCTGGAAGAATTTTGGCTGAATCTGAGGGCGTATCACAGCACATTGCGTGGAGCAGTGTCGTGACGTGTGGAGGAGACGAGCCGGGAGCAGGGCCACCTTGGGTATGCTTGGAGCACCCGCACTCATCTTCTTGAGACAACGCAGCAGTGCACCAATGCTAGAGGCAGATGGTAAGCGAGCTAGACTGCACACAGTGTTCACAGCCAAAACGGGACGGTGGGATATACTATCTAGGCATCTAGCTGACTCGGAGTTGGCATATCATCTTCATCCTTCTTCTACCATCATGTTCATCATCGTCCCAGCAGGGAAAAAAAAAAGATTCTTTGGGCCTTGGATGACTAAGATGTCTTTTTTTGTGGAACAATGTTTAGCCGACACGCTGCTATTCGACGAGGTTCTCCGAGTATCAAGTAAGCAGCAAACACTGCTCTTTGTTTAGCAATAACAAGAGATAAACAACTCACTCGGCAAATTCCCTTCTTCTTGTCTGCTCTGCCTGGGCCAACTCTGGGTTAACGCTCTTCTGCAATTCTGCTGGGAGATAGTGGATGCGCAGCTTGTATATCTACTGGTCTTTGCTCCTTCATTTGACCACCCCGGAACTATGATTCGGGCACAGAGCCTACCCTGGAGGGAAGCTCTCCGTCAGGCTTCGCGGACACTCCCGTCTAGATACTCAGCTTCGCCTTCCAGATTTTACGTAATCTCGAGCCTAGAGGCGAGGACTCTGCATCATTCCCCCCTCGCTTTGGCATCCCGAACTTTCTCATCCAGTCATGCACGACGAAAAGAAAAGCCGCAACCACCTGAGCCGAAAGATGAAAAGGAGGAGGGAACGGAGGTAGAAAAGGATCAGGAGCAAAAGTCAAGACCGGGGAAACCAACCGAAGGGAAAGATAAGTCTTCAGATACCCCGTCGCCAATACCCGCTTCTGCTTCGCCGGCAGACCCAAAACCTAGCAGCGCAAGCGCTTCCGGAGGCGCTGCCTCTGGGAGCGGCGATGGCGGGAAAAGGGGCCGGAAAATCTCTGCGGAAAAGGCCCTGCAGAAAGCTACGATTCCAGATATCTATCCACAGGTCATGGCTATTCCAATTGCGCGCAGGCCATTGTTCCCCGGATATTACAAGGCGGTTACGGTCCGGGACCCCAATGTTGTAGCAGCCATACAGGAAATGATGAAGCGGGGACAACCATATGTTGGCGCATTTCTGTTTAAGGATGAAGCGGCTGATAGAGATGTGATAGAGGATATAGATGAGGTGCATGATGTTGGTGTATTTGCGCAGATCACAAGTGTCTTCCCCGTCCACGGAGCCGAGAGCGGTTTGACCGCAGTCCTGTATCCTCACAGGAGAATCAAGATTTCGTCACTGATACCACCCAGGGATACATCGCAGAATGCTGAGGGTGGCCAGCAGGCTACGAAGGAAGCAACTGCTGAAAAGCAGGGTGACGTTGTCGCCAGCTTTGAAGAGGCCACCCTAGACCAGCCACCGAAGGAGCCTCCATACGAACCTACCTCGTTCTTACACAAATATCCTGTCAGTATAGTCAATGTGGAGAATCTTACAGAGGAGCCATATGACAAGAAGAATACCATGATTCGCGCTGTTACGAACGAGATCGTGAATGTCTTTAAGGATATTGCAAATCTGAATCCTCTTTTCCGTGATCAGATCTCGACCTTTTCCATGAGTCACTCTGGCAATATTATGGATGAACCGGCAAACCTAGCTGATTTCGCTGCTGCTGTGTCTGCTGGCGAAGTCAAGGAGTTACAAGATGTCTTGGACACGATGAACATCCAGGAGCGGTTGTCTAAGGCACTCGTGGTTTTAAAAAAAGAACTCATGAATGCGCAACTACAATCTAAGATATCAAAGGATGTCGAAGCGAAAATACAAAAGCGGCAGCGAGAATATTGGCTGATGGAACAGATGAAGGGAATTCGTCGTGAACTGGGAA